CGTGGGTCTTTTCTCTATGTGATCTCCTGCTTGCACCATTTTTTCACCAACCTTACCTCTCCTGGAAACTCGAGGCTCAGAGTCATCACTTGGATTAACAATTGAAGACAATGAATCAATTATTTGGTCAAGAATGCTTTGACCATCAGTAGCAACTTCAAGTTCTGAGAAGGGAAAGGCCTCCGCACTTTGACCCACTTTACATCTCACTAAATGAAATGAACCACCAGCAGCCTCAATAACATCCAATGCCTCATTGATAAAAAATTGATCAAATAAATGACTATTAAGAGAAACCAATATCTTGTATTTCTTGTGGAGGCCATTGCAAGGGTTTAGCGGTTGCAGGGAATATATCTATATAAAGGTGTAGACACTCCTTTGTGAGATATGCAAGCTCTTCTTAAATAAGGTAAATATGAGAAGTTAATCGTAGTGGCCAAGTCACCAATGAAATTGGATATGACATCTCCAAAATATTGGGTTGCTTCTCTTGCAAACTCAGTTGGAAGAATGTCAACCGTTAGACATATTATACCCTCGCCCCCCATATCCTCACGGTAAGAAGTTGTGAAGGGATTGTACTTGAAGAAAGGCTTCTCTATTGATGTGGTTTGATTAATACACTCAATTGAACCATCAACATCACATGTTACATCTGAAAATCAACAAGTGGGCATCCTTTTCTCATTATGCCTTGTAATTGCATAGTACTAAGCAATTGAGGAAATCTTCTTTCCTAGTACATACAATTCACTATTGCAGATGCATATGATGCAATTCTGTCATTGAAAATGGCAGCATAGTGTTCTGGATGTGCACAATAGTCAGCCTTATCAAATGTTTTTGCTGAGTCCGGAGGTGTGTCCATGTCTTCACAAGTTACAACACAACCATATACTTGAAAATTACCACACCAATTACGGAATGGTTCCAATAAACGACCAAACCATCCAAATTTATCATAACCATTCAACACATCATGGTTAGGCTTTTTCAGAACTGACAACCAATCACAACTCACCATGTTCGTACCAACACTCTCATCACCTCTACTACACAACTCCAATGCACACACCTAATTTTTACCACTGGCACCAACATTAACCACATCATCAACTATAGTCTGGATATCATCAACATTTTCCTTTATAAGTTGCCGAATAGAGAATCGAGCCACACCCTCCTCTTTAAAAGATTAAGGTGGAGTCTTAGCATTTAATGGCAACAAACATGTTCATGTCTGACCATTGACAATTTGCTTTGGTCAAAAACCACTATCTTGGTTTTCTCATCGAAACCCAAATCCCATTTCATTGTAGTTAGGGGTTACTTGTTCATGTTCACTAGGAGGGAATCATTTGAAAATCCAACATTGTCTTCAACAAAAATAATGTTAAAGTTAACATTTCCTTTTGATCAATACAATGTAGAATTTCTTCATTATCAGACTTAGAATCTTCTATACTTTCATCAATAAAAATGCTAAGCATATCCTCAATTATCTGCACTTTTTCACCAGATTGATCTCTAAATACATCTACTTGTTTCTCATTAGGTTTAGGACCCTTTGTGTCTTTCAAAGCATCAACCTCTCTAGTGGAAAATTTAGGATTTTCATGTACCAAAAAATCACATACCTTTCTCTGTTTACTTGTGTGATGCTCAAGTTTTGTTGTAGGGACAACAACTCCTCGAGTTGGACGCATCAGTCTCTTATCTTGGGATGATCCGGCTCTAGGGTTCGATTTGGATGTAAGAAAATTCTTTCTTTGCTCGTGTCGACACTGATTTTGGTCAACTCTCTTATGCCACTGACATTGGCTTTGGGTTGTTGATCGCCCAACTTTTCTCCGCATTCATGCTCCTGTCGATGCCGTCGTGCATCGCACCCATAAGTGCGATGAAACATAACATCAGAAGCTAAAAAGAATTAATAAGAAAACCCAAAAATAGACTCTCTCTCCCCCCACGTCAATCTGTCTCTCCCCAACATTAATCTCTCTAATCATCTTCCCCTCAAATCTTAATTCCCATAAAAATAGGAATCTTTCTTTTACCTTATCAACTCCTCCACAAGTCACCCATAACCTCACGTACAAATCCAATAAAATAGCAACTAATTAAATCCTAACTAAATACCCTTTCCAAACTTTCCTATTTTCTCTCTTAGGTCATCTTTTTCAGGAAATTTCTCTACCCCTTACGTGATCAACCCTTTCCCATCATTCTCCTTCTATTTATCTAACAATCCTACCTAGAATAGGATCATGGAGTCCTACGAACTAGGAAATCTATCAAGCCCATCCTAAATAAAATAAAAGTCCCTTGTTAATCCATATATTAATATCTCTAAAATTCAGACCCAACAATAAAAAAAAAATAAAAAAAATCTTGGATGCGATTTGCATCACTCATCTTATGGATATTTTGTTTCTTGGCCACCAAGTATTCTGTCCCATAAAGCATGGCTGGTTTACAGCCGTCCTATAGAACTTCCCCTTTAGTTTCAATTGTATGCGGGGATCACATAAAACTCTGGATGCACATCTCCACTTCGCCCACCGAGCTTCAATTCTATATGCGACATCTTCCTAAGTCTCTCCATTCTCCTGGATTATTGACCCTAGATGTCAGAAACAATTTCTTTTAGGTATTTTTTGATCATCAATGGTAGCTACTTCCTCTTTTCTATTCCTAGTATTACTTAACTTGCATTCCATATGTTCTTTCTTAGTCCAACTAATTTTGAAACCTTTAGATTCTAGAGCATACCTCCAATGTTCTAACTTTGCTTTAATGCTGCCTCTAGTCTCATTGATCAAAACTATGTCATCCGCGAATAAAATACACCACAATATCTCATCTTGTAGGTGCCTGATTAACTTGTCCATAGCCAAAACAAAGAGATATGGGCTCATTGTTGATTCTTAATGTAGTTCCATTGTCATTGAGAACTCATTTGTCTCTCCACTAGTTGTCCCCACACTAGTTAGCGCTCCCTTGTGCATATCTCTCACTATGTTAATACAACATCTGGTGACTCCTTTTTCAGCACTCACCAAATTAAGTCTCTAGGTACCCTATCATATGCTTTCTCTAAATCAATAAAGATTAATGAAGGTCTTTTCCTTCTCCTTAAACTTCTGAGTCAGTTGCCTAGATAGGAAAATGACTTCGATAATTGACCTCCTTGGCATAAAGCCAAACTGATTTTTTGATATGTGTTTCACGCCTTAATCTTTGCTCAACCACTCACTCCCACAACTTTATAGTGTGTCTCATAATTTCAATCCGTCGATAGTTCATGCAATTATGTATGCCACATTTGTTTTTACAAATAGGTACCACAATAAATTTTCTCCATTTGTCGAGCATTTTCTTTGTTTTCAATACCTTGTTAAACAACGTGGCAAGCCAACATATGTCAATCTCCCTCATTCACTTCCAGGCCTCTATCGAGATACCATCTAGTCCTAAAGCGTTTTTTTATCTTCATGTTTTTCAAAGCTTCTTTAACTTCAGGTATCCTAATCCTGTGAATGTTAAATATGACCTCCGCCCCCATTTATGTCAAAGGTTCCTCCTAACGTTGTATTCCCATAATGTTCATTATTTAACAATTTTTGAAAATGAATTGTCCACCTTTTGTTGACCGCGTGATCTTTCACCAAGATCCTCTGATCCTCACTCTTAATGCATCTCATTTGAGCTAAATCCCTACACTTCCTGTCTCTCATTTTTGCTTGTTTGATACATCCTTCTCACCTTCTCTTGTTCTTAGTTTATTGTATAAATTATCATATGCTTTAAGTTTAGTCGTACTATTTTCTTAGCATTTTTCTTAGCAGTTTTGATCATTTCATTACATTGCAAAGCTTTATAACGTGGTCATTTTTCACTACGTGATGGAGACTCTTGCACTGTTAGATGACATCATAGGGTTGCAGGAACTACTACCGATGTCTGCTGCTCCGGACCAAGTTAAAATATATAGCAAAAAAGAAGAGTGAGGGAGAAGAAGATCTAGAGAGAGAAAAGGAGAATTTTAGAGAGAGATAGAGCGAGAGAGTCATGTTGAGGCACAAGGCGGGAGTAGAGCGTGTCATGTTGGGTTTTGAATTGCCCACACGCCCCTCTCTTATATATCTAATCCACTACCAGACCCATCACCCCAACCTCAGCCTTCAACTCCTTCATCGGCGTACTCGTCTATCCCCTCCTCCACCTCATCCACAAACCAGCCTTCCCCTTCACACATCTCAACCTCCCTGCTTCAACAACCCACCCTTGACCCACTAGCCTTCCCACCCCTTAAAACATATATACATGCATTATTTTTAGCTTATACAATGGTATCCTTCAAGTGAGGGATGAGAAGCATAAGTCTTTAGGGACTTAAAGTACATCAAGTGGAGTATAAATTTCAAAAAAATCGCCGCGCTTAAAGTATATTCATGGGCTGCTTGGTAAGGAGGTATGGTTAGGATTCATTGGAACCCCCTTCACCTTCCTACATCATATGTAACTCTTGAACTTTATGCATCATAGATTTCCAGATCGCATGTGTGTTGGGCAGTGGACATTGTCATCTTTGTTAATGTTGTTATAAACTCAGTCATTTTGTTATTGTGCACTAAATTCCAAGTAACAAATCAGTACCTGATACTGAAATCATTGTATTATTTCAAAGTTTAAAATGAACCATCTACTATAATGAATTAATCATTGTAATATTATAGTACTTAGTAGAAAGTAAAATTTTACTTTTCCGTATCCATATTCATGTCTCATAGAAAAAAAAAGTTGGGAAAGCTGATGAGTCAACACATTGTGTTGTGAGTCAACTCAGTTTCGCTGCAGAATTAGTCTTGAAGCAAGTTTGACGTTGAAGGCATTTTCCTTCTGTGAGAGTGCTTTAGCTATGGAAAGTCAAAATGAAGTGATATCTTCGGCTACTCAGTTCTAGCAGCTTAGTTTTCTAATGGCATTTTGTGCAGGATGGTTATCAACTAGCATTAGAACTTGAGAGAGCTTGGAAAGAAAGCGCAGACTCTGGAAAACCTATTGACATCACTTCCTCTATAAAACGGTAAGAAATTACACTTGATTCATGTATATATCCAATTGGTAGCTGTATTCACCACATTGTGGGCCATTTTATGTGTATCCTATCTAGGCCATCCATACTATGTACCTGTTCTTACACGAAATAATACTGAGCCATGATTTTGGAGCCCATTTGCTTGTTTTCATTGTTATATTCATGGCGTGATACATTTGACCTCTTGCTTTTCCCCTTTAGATATGAGAAAGAAAGACGAGTGCGTGTTGCTGTCATATATGGTTTGGCTCGTATGGCTGCGATAATGGCTTCTACTTATAAGCCATATCTGGGTGTTGGTCTTGGGCCCTTGTCGGTATGCTCGCTAAACTGTTGATATATGCTGCAATGATGAAGCCCTTGGTAGTTCTTGCCTTGTTTTATGGCTTGAATGAGGCATGTTTCACAATCATCTATTTCTCTATACTTAATTATCAAGAACCATTTATGCAGTTTTTAACTAAGTTTCGAATACCACATCCTGGAAGGGTTGGTGGCAGATTTGTATTCAAGCTTGTTATGCCATTGATGCTCAACTGGGTGTTAGGTGGAAACAGGTAAGGCCTTGGCACAATAGTTTTTGTTCATTTCAATTTTCAATGTTCTTTGTGCTCATGCATTTCTGGATGCGGCATCCCAAAATTCTTATGAATGCTTGAATAGTTGTTCCCTTATACGCTCATATTCATTTATTTATTTATTTATTATTTTATTTTATGATTGCTATGTATTGTTGTGGATGGTTTTTTCAGAGTGAAGTATCTCTCGATGCTATTACATCATCATTTCCTGTAATTAGTCCAATTATCAACTTCTATCACAACATACATAATTCGTCTATTGCTGATGTTGATCAGCATTTACGGTTTAATGAATAATTAGTCATTTTTTTCAAGAAAACTTTATTAAATAATTCTAATAGAGTAGAAGGATATTCAATGCTAGTATTTCTTCTTCATTCCCTAGTATTGAACTGTATATTTCCTGTAAAGGAGTTCATTATTCTTTTGAGGGGAATTTGTCAAACCACACCTAAAATATCAATTATTTAACGTTTCACCCATTTATCAAACCACACCTAAACTATCAACCATCCTAAGCATGATATTGACTCTTTTGACGGGATTTTTGAAATGAAATCCAAAGAAATAGATGAGATATTCGATAATTATTCTATTAGGTGCTTTCTGATAATTTTCCTTTCTCCCAAACCCTATGGGGGGCATTTCTTAATTTTATAATTTGGGAATGCCTGTTATCATTGCAATTTAATTATTTTTATATGCTTTTATCATTTTTTTCAATTCTGCTTCTTCAGTTCTCTTTCTTCTTTTTCTTCCTCTTATGTATCTTGAAAGAATCTCGATTTGTTGTAATATTAGCTCAAGCCAATGATTTCCTTTTGTGCCCCTTAGACCTATATGGGTATCCTACTATAGTCAAATACAAGTAACTCAAACAAAAAAATAAAGGTAGTCACTGGAAAGAAATAAGAAAATAAAAATAAAGGTAGAAATATAATGCATTGCACATAATGCCCAGAGTACCCCTAACATAACAAAAATCTTCGTCAAGTTGTTGCATGAATGCCTATCATCCCCAACTAGGAAAATTATATTCTGTAACTGATTTTCCTTGCTGCTTCAGCAAAGACATCTACAAGTCGCTCTTCAATCTTATTATACTTGTTTGAGGTGTTGGATTGTGGTCCAACTATTCAATTGGAAACTGGGAGCATGTACAAGTGCTTATCTTGCTTGTTTTTCTCTACTTTCCTTCTTCCTCCCGTGAACACTGGGAGAAGAAGGTTGCTTATGTGGCTCATCCTTCTTTTCCCTTTTTCCAACAAATTATTGATGCGAATGATCACTCATTAGAGGAGAGGCCATACACCCTACAAAATTTGTTCTAACGTGCAAATACCCGAGCTTCATGGAAGGTGGTGCAGACTCCATTCATTGATGGTGAAGGACAGGAAGCATGAGTCTTGGGTACACCTCTCTTTCTATCTCTCTTTATTTCTCTCTCTAAATGGAGTTGTCTCACTCACTAGATCTTACATGGGCTCTCCTTTTATTTTTCTTTTTGAATTTGCATGTCTTAAAGGCCTCAAGCCCAATTATTTATAGATAGTTTTGTGCCCTACAATTGGATTAGGACTATGCTATAGGGTATTTTTGTCACACTTGTATCCTCAGTGCAAATAAGGAAGGAGCTAGTCGCAACTTAGGCCTGCGGGTACCAAAAATGCTTGTGGACTACGGAAGCATTGATTAAATAAGATTGATTATGGGTGAATTTGAAATGGTGTTGGATCGGCCCCAAAAGGCATGTGAGGGTAGCATTTGATTCCCTAAGGAAACGTCAAGTTTCATCTTAATCAGTCAAAGTTAAAGCTGATCAGGACGAAATTTAGTTCACAATTCCAGTTCCTATCATGTTAAAAGGTATCTCATAACTAGGGCCCAAATGCCGAGGCTTCTGATGAGCATCAGACCACCACCATTGGATTCGAAATGTTCAAATACCCAAGAATACTAAATGTTGACTCATTTGGACCTTTCTGGACCCTTCTTGGCCTAATGGGTGGGTTTTACACTATTTTGGTGCGGCCTCGGTGAACCAGTTTCCATTTATGGAAATTGTCTTTTGATTTTGGGATTTCCTTGTGAAGGTCATAACTCTCTCGTCTTGAGGCTGATCGAGCTCAAATTTCAGTATGTTGTAAGGATCATTAAGCCGCACGTTTTGATATATGGCACGGCCCGTGACAATGCCCGAAATGAGAGAACTTTTAAAGAGAAGTTGGACTTGAAAAGTCATGTAGTACATAATTTTTAAAGAGGAACATCCCTTCACTCAAATGGCCATATCTTGAAGCCCCGATATCGGATCGTCTCAAATACCAGCCCATTGCGACTGCAACTCAAGGGGCTTTGGATTTGAGGTGCGCAAGATGAAGGATCGAAAGACACCCTGTTTCAAGTTCAAGAAAGACATGCTTTCCGGTCGCTGGAGTACTATTTTCCAACGACCTTCCCAATTTGGCAGGTACTCAAATGGTGACCAAATTGAGGGGTTTTCTTTGCAAAACGAGTACAACGATCTCCCCTTCGATTTGCAATAAAGAAAAAGATCAAAGACATGGCGGTTCGCTCTACAGCAATGCTCGAAGTTCACAAGTTCATGGGTTTGGCCAGAGTTTTTGAGATCAACCTCGAAAGTACGATCCAAGCATAACAATGGGTATCAAATTGATCATGATGATGCAAGAAATATTTCTATGGTGTTCGATCGCCCGGATTGTCACCCAAACGCTTTGAAAAATGCCTTGAGACAGGGCAATGGCATGAGTCCCTTCCAAGAGGGATGGTTGTGTCATTTCCAACATTGTGGCTAGGGGCAAAATGGTTTTTTGCAAAAAAACGGGATTTTCATTTTAATTCATTTAGTTCATTTTTTTAAGCAATTGTGCCCACCCATGTTTCAATGGTGCCATATATAAGTTCTTTACTCAATTTGTAACCTAGTTTTGGTAGTTTTGAGAAGATAATCAAAATATTGAGCTTTTTGCTCTTGCTTGTGCATTGTTTCCAAACTTAAGAGAGAGGAGAGAGAAAACTTTACTACTTTGAGAACTGCCCTTGGACTACAAACTCCCAAACCCCACACTCCCAAACTTCCTAGTCCCTTCTCCCTAGACCACCCTACCACAAACCAATCCATACTCTGTAGACTGCTTTGGACCATATTCCCCATACTCCCTAATCCTCTAAAACCTATACTTCCCTATACTCCTTAGTCACCTAACCTATACTCCCTATGTTCCTTAGTATTTAGTCACCTTAACCTAGCTAGACTCATAGACAACTAAACCTAGACCCTAACCCTATACTCCAAAGCTTGAACCCACACTAAAGAGCATTCAAGGGACCATTTGGGAAGCACCTAGCCGATCGGCTCATGCTACCGACTCTAGCCTAGCTACTCGGTTTACTTTCTCTCTCGTCTTCTCTTCTCTCTTCCCTCTCTTCTTTTTCTCTTCTTTCTCTCTCCTCTTCTTTCTTCTCTCTCCTTTCTTCTTTTTTTTTCCCTCTCTTCTCTTTCTCTCTTCTTTCTCTCTCTCCCTTCTTTCTCTCTCTCTTTTTTCTCTCCCTCTCTCCTCTCTTCTTTCTCTTCTTTCTCTCCCTCTCTTCTCTTTTTCTCTCTGAGCGAGCAGCCAAGCCGCCGGGCCATCTTTCTTTCTCTCTTGTTTTCTTCTCTCTTCTCTCTCTCTCCCACGGCCCACAGCGGGCCCGTGTCCCCCCTCTCATTCTCCTCTCTCTCCCTCACTTTCACAGGCCTAGTGCTGATCCATCTTCCCTCTCTCTCTCTCATTCTCCTCTCTCCCACGGGCTGGTCGCGGGCGCATCTTCCCTTTCTCTCTCCCTCTCGTTCTACTCTCTCCCTCTCTCTCACGGGCCCTTAGCGGGCTCGTTCTCCTTTCTCTCCCTCACTCTCTCTTTCTCGCTCTCTCTTTCTCCCTCTGCCTCTTTCTTCTCTTCTCTATCTCTCTCCTCTTTTTTTCTACCTTTTTCTACTCTCTCTATCCCCCTTTCTTTTCTACCCTTTTTTTTAATATCTTACTCACTTTTCTTGCTTTGACTACCCTTGTGAGGCTCTTTGGAAAGCGATTCCCGACGGGTTGGACCCGCAGACTCTGCTCTCTCGAATCCTCCAGGGTGCTCTAGACTTTGGTCGAAGTTTAGAGACCTTTCTGACGTTCCCGGTCACCTCCTCAGGGAGGGGACGTCGGAAGGCTGTCTAAATTTTGAGAGGCTTTCTTTCTCTCATACTCATCTACTCTTTCTTTTCTCCTCTCTCTCTCTCTCTTCTTTTTTCTCTCTCCTCTATATTATCGTTTCCATTCTTCACCCCTATTCTGGTTACCTATTAGGAGGCTCTTTCGGAAGCGATTCTTGAAGGGCTAGACCCTCCGCTCTCTTGAATCCTCTGGGATACTTTGGCTTTAAGCTTAGTATATTTTATATCTTCAGTAATACCTCTTAGGAGAGGTGATATCGGAAGGCTGTTCAATTTTTGAGTCAATCCTCCTCTCTTTCACATTCTCTCTTATCTCCTCCTCCTATCACTTTGAACCTATAATCCCACCCCCCTCTCTCAACCATTAGCAATAATTTTCAAAACCCCATAAATTCCCATTAGGAGGTAAGCCAAGAGGTACACCCCAAAGACCATCGATAAGTGGATTCAAGGCTGTGTAGTGATGCGAGGGAGCCGAATTCAAACTGAGCTGCAAAGTAGGGGGGCTTTTCGCACGTGATGTAAGAGGGCACAAAGCCTAGACGCGTCCTCGAACCCAACCGGCGACGTACTTGTTCGAGCCCCTTCTCGTCGTTAAAAATTCTCTCTTCTGTTGGTTCCTATCCGTACATCAAGCACACACACAAGTGTGGGCACGTGGTTGTTTGAGTGACGGTTCTCGAGCCGGGTCCCTGAGCGAAGAAAATCCAGGCCCAACCAGACTAGACAGCATCCATGTCCCCATCTAGATTTG